TGATATTGGGCTCCAATTGGGCTTGCCTCATTTATTTATTTGGATCTTTATCTGCTTTAGATTTTGAAGCTTGATTTCTTTTGGGCTTGAGGCCCATACCAATTGACAAACAAATTCAATGTTTGGATTCAATTCACAAATGGAGTATCCACTCTTTGAGAACTTCCAAATAAGTTACATTTATTTTATTTTTATTTTATTTTTTTTAATAATTTTTTTAAGGAAAATTTACCCATAAATCCTATTTTCTGAAAAGTTGAACCATTTAGTCCTAAAAGTTTTCTTATGCACCATTTAGTCCCATTTTATTTTGGTAATGTTGTTTATTTAATAATCATCATCAGCACCAACATTAGTCATCAAACAAGGATCGAACATCACCAACATATATACCCATTTGAATGTTAAGACCCATTTATCAACATTATTCATCAAACATTAAGATCCAGCGAACATCAAACATCATCGCCAACATCAACATTATCAAACATCATCATCAACATTAACATCACAACAAAAACATTAAGATCCAGCGAACATCAACATCATCATCAACATTAAGATCGGCCTTTTCCCAACAAACGTTGCAGACGATTGCGAACCACGAAGGCAGAGAGGTCACGATCTCACGGCGGTAGTACTGGATCGGTGTGGATCGGCGCTGATGTTGACGATGTTGATCGGTGTGGTACTGGATCAGTGCTCTCGACAACTATAAAGCTTTCGGCGTTGTTTCTAACCCTAAGGAATGGAGCACACAGAAAGAGAAATCTGTGGAGCATTAAGGAATGGAGATAGAGCAAAGAGAAAGAACATAGAGAGAGAGAGAGAGCTACGTACCACAAGCGAAGAGCAGCACCGGCAACGAGCGAAGAGCGGCGGCGGCGCGGTGGCAACAAGGCTAGTGACACCGATCAGGGAGGCGAAGAGCAACAGACGATGAATGAAATGAGATGGATTAAGGGTGTGAATTAGGTTTAATGAGAATTGATTGTGTGTGGACATTTTGATAGATTCAACCCAATGGTTGAAGAGTGGTATTATATCCATTAATTAGTGTATTAATATTATATCCAATGATGTTGTTGTGATGTTTGATGTTGGGTTGTTGTGTTGTTGATAATGTGATGACGTTTGATGTTGATGATGATGATGTTTGATGATGATGTTGTAATGTTTAATGTTGTTTTGATGATGATGTTTGTGATGTTTGATATTGTTTTGATGATGATGTTTGATGTTGTTTGAGGATGATGTTGTGATGTTTGATATTGTTTTGATGATGATGTTTGATGTTATTTTGATAATGATGATGTTGTTTTGATGATGATGATGTTTGATGTATTCCTTCTATGGTCAATTTCCCTATAATGGGACCTTTCAGTCTATAAGAAAACTTTTAAGACTAAACAGTGTATAAGTTATTAATTTGGGATTTATTCGTGCATCACCATTTTTTTTAATTATATTAAAAAAATTACTGTTTGAGAACTTCCAAATAAGTTACATTTATTTTATTTTTATTTTTTGTTTTTAGTAATTTTTTTTAATTATATTAAAAATTTAAAGATAATACATGCCCTATCCATTGTTTAATATTATGATTGAAATAAATAAATAAAAAATAACAATAATAAGAATAATAAAAAAATTAATAAATTTTTTTATAAAACTAATAAAAAGTGTCTACTTTTAAATTTTTTTAATCCTTTTTGTCACCCAATTCGAACATTTGTTAGTAAAGTCCTCCTTCATAGAAGAGGGTATTTGGCATACAATTAAAAGTCACATTTAAAATTATATCAATTTTTTTTTACTTACTCTTCAAATACATTTTGTAAAGACGAATCTAAAAATAAAAATAAAAAATTGAAAAAAGTATTATAAAAAAATTAATTATTTTTAATTAAAACTCTATCTAAATTTTATTTTCTAGTCCGTTTAGTAAAATAAATTCAAAAGCATAAAAAAAAAAAATTTAACTTTTATTTCTTTAAAAAATAAAAAAGTTTATGTAAACAGTTGTAAACCAATAAAACGATTGAACTAAGCCAAATACACTTTCCATGATACGAAATTGGGAGAAAAAACTGATGGAAAAATTGAAGTACTTTATTCACTGTAATCAATTACTTAAATAGTAGAGTACATGAACTAACACAGCAACAAATAAGGAACTAACTGACTGTGGAAAAACAAATTTAGGAACTGACTAACCACAGTTGTAACAGACTCCTATGGACTTGGTAAACTAACAGACTCCTAAAAACTTGGACAAACAAAGACTTAATCAAATTAAACTTTTAACACCCTCCCTTAAACTGAGTGCTCTTTTGACATTCAGTTTATTTAGAGAACTTCACCAGCTTATTTAGTTGCCTCCCTCAAATTGTATTCTCCATTGAACAAACACCAAGCAATCTCCGCAGCTTCACGAAAATGACCAATTTGAGGGGTTTGGTTAGAATATCAGCAACTTGATCTTCACTTTTTGCAGTAAATCAGATCAATGGTTTCATTCTTTGTGAGATCCCGTAAGAAATGATACCGTACATCAATATGTTTGCTTCTCCCATGTAGAACAGGATTTTTTGACAGTTTGATTGCTGAACTACTATCACAATACACTGGAGTGGGACCTTGTTGATGATAATGTAATTCTTCAAGTAGTCTCCTTAACCAAATTGCTTGACAAGCACACGACGCAGCAGCAACAAACTCTGCTTCGGTAGTGGACAAAATAACAATTTGTTGTTTCTTTAATGACCAAGAAACAACACTTGAGCCCATCATAAAGACATAACCTGAGGTGCTTCTTCTATCATCTCGATCACCTGCATAGTCACTATCAGTGAAGCCAAGTAACCCAAAATTTCCTTCATTTCTATAAAGAATACCAAAATTAATGGTCCCAACAAAGTATCTGAAAATTCTTTTGGCAGCAAGGAGATGCAACTGCGTAGGATTTTCCATGTATCTGCTGATAAGACTTACTGCGTGCATAATGTATGGCCTGGTTGTAGTCAAATACATAAGACTTCGGACGATTTGTTTGTAAAGAGTGCTGTCTACTTTCCTTCCTTCATGGTCTTTGATTAGCTTAAGACCATGTTCAACTGGTGTAGTAACTGAATTACAATTCACCATTTGAAACTTGTCCAGCATTTCTCGAACATATTTCTTCTGTGAAATAAAGATTCCAGCAGAAGATTGTGCTACTTCAATGCCAAGAAAGTAGTGCATCAGTCCAAGACCAGACATTTCAAACTCAATCATCATTGATTGCTTGAAATCATCAAACATAGCACTTTGTTTCCAGTGTAGATTATATCGTCCACATATAAGCACACAATTAAAATCTCACCAGTAGATTTAGATTTGATAAACAAAGTATGCTCATATGGACATTGTTGAATGCCTGATTTGGAAAAATATGTAGCTATGCGACTATACCAAGCTCGAGGAGCTTGTTTTAGCCCATACAGGGCTTTTTTTAGCTTGTATACCTTTTTCACATTCCCTTGTTGCACATACCCCGAAGGCTGATCAACATATACTTGCTCTTGCAAATCACCGTGTAGGAACGCAGATTTTACATCCATCTGAAAGATTGGCCATGAGTTTTTTGCTGCCAATGCAAGTACCAATTGAATGGTATCATGCCTCGCAACTGGAGCAAAAACCTCACACCAATTGACTTATAACCTTTTACCACTAGGCGAGCTTTGTACTTGTAACCTTTTACCACTAGGCGAGCTTTGTACTTGTCAACTTCTCCTCCCTGATTCAGCTTTGTTTTGTAGACCCACTTCACACCAGTTGACTTTTGTCCTTTAGGAAGATCTGTCAATTCCCAAGTGTTGTTTTTCTCAATAGCTGTAATTTCTTCATCCATGGCTTTCTGCCATTTTTTTATCTTTAACAGCATCTTGGAAAGTAACAGGATTACAATCTGAGAATAGAGCAAAATGTACAAGTGGGTCATCAGATTGATCAACACCACTTACCTCATAATCTTGCATCCATGCTGGTCTCTTTTTGGTACGTTCAGGCTGGATTGTGGTTGAAGTTTCAGAGTGATCTTCTTCAAGTGTTGCTGTTGGTTGACTTGAAGAACTAGAATGCAATGGTTGTTGTTCACCAACCGTAGGCTGCGGATGTCTTTCTTCTGCTTCATCATCATCAAAGCTTATAGGAATGTTCTGGCTTGAACTATTGACAACATTTGTCAATGTTTTCTTTTCATCAAAGATCACATCCCGACTGATGACGATTTTCTTGGTAATGGGATTATACAATTTATAAGCCTTTGAGTGCTCACTAACCCCTAGAAAAATACACTTTTCTTATTTATCATCAAGTTTCTTCCTCTTCTCATTTGGAACGTGTGCATATGCAATGCACCCAAAAATCCGTAAGTGGTCGACACTCGGTTTTCTGCCACTCCAAGCTTCTTCAGGAGTCCGATTACGAACTGCCATGGTTGGACTTCTGTTTAGGAGATGTATACTCTACAAGACTGCCTTAGGCCAGAAACTCTTCAAAAGAGGACTTCTATTCAGCATACTCCGCACCATATTTAAGATTGTAAGATTTTTCCTCTCCGCAACACCGTTTTGTTGTGGTGTGTAAGATGTTGTGAGTTGTCTTTTGATTCCATGCATCTCACAGAAATTTGCAAATTCTTGTGAGTTGTATTCCCCACCACGATCAGTTCGAAGAGTTTTGATAGATTTCCCAACATCTTTCTCAACAAAAGCTTTGTAAGTTTTGAATGCCAAAAAAGCTTCAGATTTTTCCTGCAAGAAATAGACCCATGTTTTTCTACTAAAGTCGTCAATAAAGGTAATAAAGTACCTTTTGTTACCATTGGATGGTGGATTAATAGGCCCACAAATATCAGAATGAACCAATTCCAGCACCATCTTGGCTCTCCATGCTTGTCCTTTTGGGAAATGTTCACGATGTTGTTTGCCAATGATACACTCTTCACAAACTTGCTAAGGATGATCAATCTGTGGAAAACCAGTCACCATATTCTTTTGATGGAGCAACTTTAAACCAGAGAAGTTCAGATGCTCATAGTGAAAATGCCATAGCCAAGCTAAATCTTTCACCATAGCAGAAAAGCAAGAAAGGATATCATTCTGGATGTATAGAGGAAACATCCGATTTGCTGTCATATTCACTTGAGTGATCAGACCCATCTTTGGATCTTGAATTATGCAGGTTCCTTCTTTAATGATGATCTCATATCCCTTTTCTTGAAGTTGAACTACACTTAACAGATTAGTTTTCAAACCTGGTACATAAAACACAGTTGAAATAGTCTATTTAGCACTTTTGGAAGTCTGAATTTGAATGGTGCCCTTCCCCATAACAGAGATAATAGAATCATCTCCAAATTTGACAGTGGAATGGAAGGACTCATCTAATTCAGAGAATATAGACTTGTTTCCACACATATGATTACTAGATCCCGTGTCCAAGTACCACATTCTTTTATGGGTATCTTCAGTTATGTTGCAAGCCATAAGAAGAGAAACCTCTTCTTCTTTCTCTGCAAAATTTGATTTTGCTCCCCTTTCTTGATACAATTTAGTCCTGTATTCAAAACGATAATGACCATACCTTTTGACATCTGTAGCATTTGACTTTGGATTTGTCAAATGGCTTTGATTCCTGGTTTCCACTTTGATGATTATCTCGTCCTTTACCTCTACCTTTGGGGTCATGAACTTGATTGCCATGTGTGGAGTGATCATTGTTACTGCTGTTACTTCTTCTCCTTCCTTGACCGTATCCCTTCTTTTGGAAAGATTGGTTGTTGGCTGAGTATTGTAGCTGCAATGCTTGCTCCACTGCTACATGCTGATTAATCCGTTGCTCGTGGACTCTCAGCGAACTCATCAATTCTTCAATGGAAAGGGCATCAAGATCCTTTGATTCCTCAATCGAGCAGACCACGTGTTTAAACTTCAAGGTCATCGATCGAAGAATCTTCTCGATTATGGTAATGTCTTTCATCTTGTCTCCGCTGGTTCTCATCTTGTTTGCGATGGACGTTCTGGAGAATTATTCCTCAATTGACTCTGTCGGTTGCATGCGAAGAGTCTCAAATTCCACATGAAGTGCTTGAAGGTGTGCTCGTTTCACCTTTGCAGTACCTTGATACTTCTACTTCATTGCGTCCCATATTTGTTTTGAAGTATCTTTGGTGAGAATCGTCTCCAAGATTGTTTGATCAATTGCTTGGAACAAGTAATTCTTTACCTTCAGGTCCTTCAATCTCTGTTCCTACAGCTTCATTTTCTGAGTATCCGTCAAGGTGCTAGACTCTGTTTCTGGAAAACCAGTTTTAACAAGATGCCAATATTTTTTGGATCTCAAGAAGTTTTCCATCAGCATGCTCCAATGGTCATAGTGACCATCAAATCCAGGTATAGCAGGTTGCACAAAAGTCTCTGATGCCATTAAGAGAGATTAACTGATATTGCTCAGAAAAAAAAAAAAAAAAAAGACACACCAGAGAGCAGACAAAAGCTTCAGCTCTGAGTACACTGTCTACTTTCCAATTCAGAGTCTTTGGCTCTGATACCACTGATATGAAATTGGGAGAAAAAACTGATGGAAAAATTGAAGTACTTTATTCACTGTAATCAGCTACTTAAATAGTAGAGTACATGAACTAACACAGCAACAAATAAGGAACTAACTGACTGTGGAAAAACAAATTTAGGGACTGACTAACCACAGTTGTAACAGACTCCTATGGACTTGGTAAACTAACAGACTCCTAAAAACTTGGACAAGCAAAGACTTAATCAAATTAAACTTTTAACATTCCAAAGGATGACGACAAAAGTGAGAAGGTTTGGGACACAGTCATATGGTATTTTAGGTGTGTTGCGACTGATAAAAATTGTAAAATTCATAATTTTGTATTAAGTGATTAGAAATGACAAAAGACTTATTGATCTGTAATTGGTCAAGGTTTGATCACATGGTGCGTCTAGACTATGATATAATTTTGAAATATCTTTCATCTCTCATTTCGTCATCCTCAATTGCAACTCTTCTTTTAAAATTATTTGTCATATCATTAGAAGTATAATTGAGGGTGATAAATAATAATGTTAAAAACACATAATAAAATACAGACCTCTCTTTACATATAAACTCCACTCTTTGTGAGAGATGTTTCTTACTCTATAAATAATTTCTATACACTTACTTGGTGATAAAATAAACGAATGTAACACAACTCTATAATTTTTAGGAAAAAGCAATTGGTCTACTCTTTTGATGTTATTTTGGCTTCGTTTAGGAAATGTGCTGACTTTTTAACTATTTTGACCTATTTTGATAATTTTGACTCTTTAATTTTTTTGCTCTTTTGAATTACATTACATCTTTATTTCTTTATAATTTTAAAAATAAAAAACCCAACTTTTAACCTATTTTCCAAAACAATCATTTCATAAAATAAAATAAATAAATAAGCCGGTTTCAACCCGACAGCGCACGCACACTCTTTTCATTATCCTAAAATAAAAAAAATAAAAATAAATAAAAAAATGAGAATCTTCTAAACAGCTGCCACGTGAGTACCTCCTACACTTCACGTGTCTTCCCCTTTCCATTTTTTCGGGCGAGTACATATATTCAAATTTTTTTATTTTTTTTAACTTTATTAATTTGGAATTATTAATTTATGATATTTACATTTCATTATTTGATTATAAATTTTATTATTTAGATTGGACGAATTATATTAACAGTTCTTGGAATTTGAGACTTTTGTGTCACTTTGGTCATTAATTTTTAATTGTGATATATTTGACCCTGAATTTTGAATCTCGTTTCAAATAAAGACAATCAAAAATATTTTCTTTACAAACAGTTTATTTCAAAAGCAAAGTCGTAACACAACTTATTTTGTATTAGTTAACTTGTATGTTATTTGAAATTTAATGGTCTTTTTTTTAAAAAATGACGTTGGAACTTTCTTAATTATAAAGTACTGTTTGATTTAGTTTTCAAAATCTATTTTCAAATTTTTTTTCTAATATAATTGATGAAAAAAATTAAAAACACATCATTTTATTTAATTTTATCTTTTGAGAGGGTAGAAATAATTTTTTAAAATATATATATATATATATATTTTTGATATTTATTTTCATTAAATTAATTTTATTTTTTCAAAAGTCAAATATGATGACAACTTTAATGTTATTATTAAATCAATTCATTAAATCAAAAAATTCAAAACCAAAACATTTCACATTAAACATATCGATTACACATTAAAACTTAATAACCATCCATTATATGATAACCACCATAAAATATCTTTTAACAAATACAACAATCTATTACATGATAACTATTCACCCTTCTGGAAATATAATATTGTTTCAAGGAATCATTTTAGGAACAGCTACCTAGCTACTGAAAAAGGTTAGTATCAATTAAGATAGTTTGTCCTAATTCACTGTATTTTCTGATATAAAGATTCAAGGTACTTAAAACCTTAAGATGAATTCTGAAAATAGCTGATAAGGGTGGTGACCCTGGTATATACTGATAACCATTTGTCAAAATTCAAAGTTCAATAACTTTAGACAGATTCGGATCTATAAGTGTTATACTCAAATTCGGATAAATATTGAAATATACTGGTCTATGAGATAAACTGGTTTCGATGGCTCCCATCAAAGAAGCTTTCCAATCAAGACATCTACCATCCCTGTGTGTACAAGTAAGACTGATATTTTGTCCAAGCAGAGTTAGGGGTTTAAAAGCTATCTGAACAAGTCCTATGTGGACATATTTATATTTTTTCAGAAAATGTACTAAATCCTGTATTTGTAATAATTGAATGACTTCATCATCATTCTGTAGAGGAACTTCATGTTCAAAATTGTAATAATTTTTCTACTAGTAAAATCAAAAGTACCAATTTTATAAATGGTTTCTGGTTTAGCTTTGGGAACGGTCCATTTATCAAGGGCCTCCCTTACATCCTGATAGGCTACTAGTTCTGCTACTTCTGATGTAGAAGCTACTGTATTGACTACTGTTGTGATGGTTGCTTCTTCCGCCATTGGTTGTATGTGACCATATATGTATAATTTAAATATTATATACAGGTATTATGTGAATGAATAAACATGGCTCTGATACCAACTAAGTGTTCAAAAGGGCTAGGCAAAGCACGCCTGTCAATGATTTACAAGGTACAGTGTCCTATTTGCATTCCCTGCTACTAGACTACCCTAAACGCGACTTAGATGACATCCCACTTCTCCCAACTACAATCTACCCTTATTTGGCACAAACCCAGGAACATAAATGCACATAATACAAGTATATAATAAACAAATTATGGCATATATGGTATCATGTTTTACTGTTGGGGTGGAGGCCTAACAGTAGCCGCCCACACACAAATCTGTTCTTGTATTTGCTGTTGAATTCTGACTATTTGTCTTTCACAGAATTCTACCTATTGTGTAGCCCAAGGTTGTAAATACTGATCGTGAAGAAATGTTAAATAATTATTACGACTTATATTATAAAATTCTAGAACATTTAATAAGTCAACAAGTAAATCTACGGAGGGCATACATTAAAGAGAGAAATACTTACAATCACATCTTCAAAACAGCTTAGTTCTTCAACCCTTAATTTATATATTGGAGAAATGTTTACAATATGAAAGAGGGAGAGCTTACACCAATTAATTTTTTTTTTTTAAAAAAAAAAAAAAAAAAAAAACTTAAACACACACTCTAAAAACTCTGCTTCAACAAAGGTGGGGTCCTTCCCTTTTATAATACAAGAAACGAAAAAGATAAGATAAGAAGAGGACAGGTGGCGTGTCCTTGTGGAGTGGAGTCGATTGTCCTTATCCTCATGACTTAGCATCCTATCTTCTTTGTCTAGTGGTGGACAGCTGTGTGGTATATCGAGATAGCAGACAGAGCATCTGCTTTTGTAAAAGTTACTGTATTGGTTTTGTCATTTTATGCCGACGATTGTGCTGGTGAAGGACAAAACCCATCATGCTTTGCCTTTACCTTTTTTATCTTTTTCTTTGTCGATTTTATCAGCAATCATACTGGTGAGTGAATCCCAAAAATCACCAAAGTTGGGTACATCATCTCCTGGTACTTGTGATTCGCCAGCTAATACAGCAAATTCTTTTTCATCCTGGTTAGGATCATCATGGTCTTGACTACTGGTAACAGATTTCATGGAGGTATCATCCTCGAAAATAGTTTGGAGAAACTGTTCCTTCATAAAATCCATACTTTTAACAATTAATTCTGTTTTTTGACAAATTAGGATATTTTTGCCGTAATTCTGTTTGGATTTGTAAAAACGGATTTTGAGTAACTAGTTGGCTGGGAATAGTTTTTGGAACAGCATCCCAACAGGCTTGAGAATGTGCCTTGATTTTCTGGACAGTTTTTGGTAGAATATGGTTCATACCCTTATCCCACCATCTCACAAAGAAGACCATTTTGAGACGTGGGATCTTATTCTGATAATCGCACTGAAAGTCCCATTTCCAAATCCATGGAATACCAAAACAAATTGTGAAATGGACTAAGGATTTTGTTATAGAGATATCCTTATTTACTGGTAAATAGGAATATGCAATATGCCATTCATTATAGGCTTCCCTGATTGGTACTGGTAAAACTTATAACTATAACCCAAATTTATCCCACCAAACGAGGAACCAAGAAGGGACATCATTTTTAAGGACATCAAGGCAAATACCGATAAACCAAGAATGATTGTTAATGGGATTCTAGTAATAAAATGTTAGAGTAAATGCACCTATATAGTCCCAAAAGCTATACCGGGTTTCCCTGTTACAAATATCAAGTTGCCGGGCAATATGCGAGTGAATGCCCCATGTTGTAATGGGCATAATATTGCGGACAATAATTTTACAATACTGGATAGGACTAGTTATTTTGGAGGGATCATGCAAAGTATGCTTGATCTCCACAGCAATAGTTTCAATGAGT